TACTGAATGGAACCGTGAGCCTCTGCAACAGGCGACGAACGCGCCACCGATGGGCCACATCACCGCCCTAACTGGCCAATCTCTGCTGATAAGACTCGTGTCTGCTTAAACGAATGCTGCTGGAAAACATTGGTGCAGCAGCCTCATTGGCCGATGGACCACAAACAACACCGCGAAACAGGCCCTCGCCTATTCATTTAGTATTAAAACCAGTCAAAGTATTGCCCGTTTCCGCTGCTCTAATACTGACCCCCGCAACCCCCTCCTCCACTTGCCCTGATGCTGAAACGTGCGAGGTCGAAAAAGAAAATCGCAATGTTCTTACAACACCTTCCCATTAGCACGCGCGTGCCTGACCTTTTCTAAATCTTTGCACGTTTCTTAAAAATCACTGTAATTATTTGAACACGGGCGTCCAGTCCCCTTCAGTTTTACAAAATGTCTGACAGCCTATGTTTTTTTGTAATTCGAAACGGCGGCGGGCGCCGTGCATCGTTGTCGTTGTTTGGCATCCTCGCAGCCAAAACGACGTCGCTTTACCGCACGCGGCTCTTAAGCGCCGCTGCGGCAGAATGATGATGGGAACAATAGTAACAGCTACGCCACTGGAATTATACGGCACCCGTATGCGCGACCGCATGTCGAGATCCTTTGCAGAAACGGTGGCCGTTATTTGGTTTATGGAGAGGCAGGTAGGCAGTTAGGCATGCCAGTCGGTCATTGGCAGAGGAAATCAAGGCAGAACAATCATGCATATGCATGGATTATGGAATAATCTTTAAACATGCTTCAGAAAATGTGAAATTGTTTAAATAGTTTGTTTAACTGGCAGTCAGGAAGATGGTGGTGAATACTCGAGTAGTGTATTTTTTACTCTGGCTCATTTTTTTAACCAATTTCACGGATTTTTCTGTTGGCCAAGTCTCAGATAGCAACGCAAATTTGGACTAAAGTTGGATAATTATAATTGCATTGTATGCATAACCCCAAATTGTATTGCATTGTAATTGCAAACAGCCCCTCCCCATAAATAGTTCATTGTGTTTTTTATGGGAAAACATTTCTTACAGCGTATACTTCACAAGTAACAAAAACCCATAATCACACGTTACATCCCAAAGTCGTTTGCAGTTTGGCGTTTTTTAACCGAATTAATTGTTCCGCGGAATTTGCAGTGGATTGCAAAACGTGCGTACAACGTGCACTCATTAAATAGCTGGTTTTGCAATTAATGATGAGGAACAAAAAAAAAATTAACGCGAAAGCCGCTGCCAGAATGTGATAAGTGTTGTGCTTCTCACAGTGCGTTCGGATGATGTGTGTACTGCCACCACCGCCACTATTGCTCCCCACACTTGCCTGTGGCTGCCTGCTGTGTGCTGACCCACTGGGGAAACGAATATAAATATTTATAACCAGAAAATGTCCTTTATTTACCCAGGAAAGCCTCACCGAGTCTCCAAGACTTCTCTTCTCCCACTACATTGTTGACGTTTGGCCAGTTCTGTTTCGTGAGCGCGATGAGACCGGATGAACCCGGATAAAACCCACCACGCTCTTGCACAGATTGATATCGCAGTCCTTTTGCTTTACTGCCATAACCAGGCGATCGTGCAAATCCCTCATCCAGCAGTGGAATGAGAACAGGCCTGTCTGTGTAACTTAATTTGTAGCCACGTAATGAATCATTAGATGGAGCGGTGCCACAAGGGGTTAGCAAACTGCTCTCCTAACCTGACAACCTGAGCTCTATTCCCGACCATGGCTAACATCGGTGGCGGACATGTCGAACGCACCTTAACCGCGCTCGAGGGCACGCACCCCCACCCCTCCCACAACCGAACCGTTCAACAGCCAGCGCTGACCCAGCGTGGTGAAGTATGGACAATCATTCAAAAATTATCCGTGCGATGCGGCCCTTTTGTTGGCTTTGTGCGTGAGTGGACCCGCGGGCGGTGCGGAGGGGTTGACACGCGCGCAGGCTCACGGGCCGTAGCGCTCGTGTTTCCCCCCCCCACCCCCCAACTCGCCACCGATCGCTCCTTCTCCCCTGTGGCTTCGACTGCTGGCGCCGATTCGCCGGTGGTGCCGATTCGCCGCTGGCGCCCGTGGGATTGTCAGGCTCTCGTGCCGTGGGGGTGAGGGCGGCCGTCCGGACGCGTTGCCACTTGTCGCCACTCGTCGCCGCGCGGCCGCCACGCAGTCGGCTTCCTCGTGCTTAACGCAACTTTACGTGATCTCGTGTCTTCCCAACAGCTTGACGAGGAGAAATCGACTCTCAATCAGCAGCTGCTCGACATGAAAAGAAGGTGGGATTTATTTTATGGACTGGGGGGGGGGGTGGGTTGGAGGGGTGGGGGATGGAAGGCCGTTGTGGGGTGGGAGGGTGGGGGTTTGAGGTATGGGCAGAATTTGCAATGGTTATTAATTAATGGCAATGAAAAGACTTGGGTTGGAATAATTTGTACCATTAATTAAGTCCATTTTTCCGCGTTAGAGCGTGCAAATTGCATTCATTTCCAATGATTATATTTAATTGCGTACAGGAGCTTTAGTTTTGAAGTGAGATTCTGCGCTTGACCTCGATACATCAGTATCAAACCACTTACGTGCGCGCACGCTTTCTGCCGACACGTACGCACCGCACCCCCAGCTGTTTGCGGTGCGCCAAATGTTGCCGTGCGTATCCTCACACACGCGTGTTTTTTTTGGTGGTGCCGCGTTGGCGGTGGTGCGTACATCAACATTTAAATCTCGAGGTGTTTCTCAAGAAAACTGCTACGAATCTAAAAATAAATAAAAAAACCCTCCCCCGAGATCCTGATGGAACAACGTTCGGTCCGTTTCGCGAAATTTGCGCGCGTAAATTTTTTTGTTTTGCCATGATGAACGGACAATGCATTTATAATAGTTAACGTTTCTGGCATTGGCTCTCTGCCATGCGTGCTTTTTCCAGTGTTATTGGCAAATTTGCTGTTTTCAAATATAAATATATGTCTTAATAGAGGCGCTTGCGATTTGGTGCTTGCGTTCTGTTCCAAGAAAGGCGTCGTGGTTCTTGGAAGTAATTCGCTGTTTATAACTCTGGCATAATGTAATGATTTCCATACCATTTCAGTGCTTTGATCACTGCACCTTGAGTTTGCATATGTAGTGAGTCCAACTGAGTCGCAGACGTTATTCTTTAGAGGCAACACATTTATCGTAACACGTTTTTACAAAGGGGTAACTGCCCCTTTACCAGATACAGCCTGGGGTGGTGACCACCCAGCTAACTACACTACACGTCGGAGTTACAGCTACGAAGGGTCGGACCCTCACTCGGGTCCCCGGCCACGTGTTGATGCCTCGTTGGACGTAGATCTTACAGCTTGTAGACGTAGAGCTTCCAGCTTGTAGAATGCAGCAACCCCGGTCCCTCTCAGGGACCCACCTTTTATCCTCCCGGGTCGGGGCTGGCTCCGCCCTCGGCCCCGCCCGCCTTCTCGAGCCTTCTAGCTCCCTCTCGATCCCTCTCGAGAGCTCTCCCCCGGACACGTGATCACCCCCTAGCCCCCCCCCAGCTGGGGCCTTCTCTGTGGACACTCCGGATCACGTGTCTACGGGGTCAACCAGAGTGCCATGGCCCGGGGCAACCCTGTCCCTGGGCTGACACTCTCCCGCTCCCCATTGTGGGAGCCCGCACTGCACGCTTTGCGTGGTGCCCGCGCTATCCCAGCGCTCACCAAGCCCGCTAGGGCTGGTACTACACCCACCCACGGGTTGTACGCGATGACGGTGCATCGCATGTCGTGCTGTGCTCGAGCCGGCCTCACACAGCAACCCGCGCCCTAAGTACGTCGCGCGCCACGACCCTCATGGGCCGGCACCATATAGTGACATCCCCGATGTTACTACACATACACTAGAGACAACAAAAGATCCCCCGTATAGCCTTTAACAAGGCTGTTGGGGCAAGTGCCGTTCGCGAGCACCTATGAAGGCCGCACGGCACACGAGGGGGTGGGTGGCCAGCACCACGCCCACCCACCTTTGTCTTCCCAGTGATGATATTTATACACTGCAGCGGGGAAGCATTTGAGTCGATCGAGTGGAAGCCCAGGACCGGTTCAGATAATCATCACTGGTTGTTAGTGGCCGTAAGTGGGAACAGAACTCAGGTCACCGGGTTCATAGCGCAGCTCGCTAAACACTACACTACCGCTCCCCACGAGCAAAACTAATTATCCGTAAAAAAATTGCACGGGCTGGAAACAAAATGATCATAATAATAATGTGGTTTTCGACTGCAAAATCACGATATAAAACCCCAGCATGCTTTGCATGTCAAGATGAACATCACCATTCCTGCATACATTGTGCACGCAGCCTGTAATAGCCACCGGTGAAAAATATCTAGAAGTTTGGCGCATACCGGGTTTTCGTGCTTATCAGGCCTCATCAGTATGGCATAGCCGTCTTTGCCCTGCTGCTGCCGCTGTTTGTGTCATTCCAAGCAGGCTTCCCCCCCCAAAACTGGGGGGGGACACACGTGTGTGACACAAACCTTGGGTCAATACGAACAGAATCCGGAACATGTGACACGTACATGAGTGGAGCGGTGGTTAGCACACCACGCCATCAACCCGGTTGCCTCGGTTTCATTCCCGGGCAGCGTGAGTGGCGAGCGCCGTTGACCTGCGCGGTAAAGTATTGTCAGACAACCACCGTGCCGTGGAGAGAACTTCACCCAGCAGCAAAACGATAAAAACTTGTGAATCATTTATTTGTGAAATATATCTATTTATTATTACACATTCCAGGTGAGAGCTTATTCAAAATAAGTATCTTGCAAGGGAGACTTGGGATACATTCCAAAGTACTGTACTGCACAAATATATTTGATATCTGTGCACAAAATGTATGGTATGAGACGATGGTTCAACAAAGCAAAAACATTTTAATAATATACAAATAGTATCTGCAGGAGCAGTTATTAAATATGAATCTTGCAGCTATGTGTTTCATACGAATTAATTGCAGATGCCTTGGTGTTTTAATATACTGAGACATGGAAGGGTGCATCGATATAAATATATTTCTTAGCTGGCGAGTGGTATGTGCATCAAATTGGGCACGTAAATAATTACGGTGTGTGCAAATAAAAGGAAGATTCGTGAGAGCAATTGGAGAAAGGCGGAATTTGATTTATTGGGCATGCAATTCGAAAGACAAGAGATTGACTGTAAATGCGATTCCGAATGGGGAAAATTCTAGGTACCAACGAAGAGCCGTGGAAGACAGCGAATTAAGTTATATAAGCAATTTGAACAATTGGATGCAAGTCGGAGGAGCGAATAACGTGCAAATGACAGACGCACGTTCCATCTCGTCTAATCGAGCAAACTAAACCGCATGGAAGAACCAATTGAATAATGACGGAACGATGCAAACGAGATGCTAAAAATGGGACGCGAGAAAATATATATTTATTATTATTATTACTATGATCTAAATCATGAACACGAATTGTGGACCAACTCATCGAACTCATCGAATGATAATTTTTTTTTACCCTTTTATCTGCCAGATAAAAGGGTAAAAAAACAATTATCATATTTTGCTACTGGCAAAGGAGAGATTCCAATGGTGAACTCATCGAATGTCTGCAATGAAGGTCACCGGTCACACAGCCAGATGTAAAGAGCGGTCTTAGCATCACGTCGGCCATGAGTAACATCTGAGCTCGTCTGCTGCTGCTGCTGTCGGGTGATCTGATTTAGCTGTGGGGCCTGTGTCCGTGATGCAAGATGTGTTCCGTGTGTGTGTGTCTCTCTCTTTGCCGTTCTTTGCCCCCCCCCCCCCCGTACGCGTTTTGTGTCTTTCTGTGGTAAGGCTGAAAAAAGTCAACCCCAAGCTGTACTCTCCTAATGGCTCCCTTCAATTATAACACACTCCCATAAAGTCCCCCTGTCCTACGCTCGCCCCCCCCACCCCCCGCCCGCCGGCACCTGTCTCTCAGCATAATCATTAGACCTGCTGCCTGTTTGATGATCCCTCCGCCGACTGCTTTGATCACAACCAGGACAGAGATAGATTTTAACCAAATTTATGTGTGGAGAGAGAGAGCGAGAAAAAAAATCTGTACATTACATTTTTTTGTTCGCCTTGCCACCACCATAAATATTTGACGTTTTATGTTTTATATCAAGTGACGAGCAGTTTGTTAATGCTGCTGCTGCTACGCCACCACGTTGCTCTACCCGGCGTGTGGTTTTGCCAGCGGATTAAATTAAGAGTCGGGGCGGGTGGGTGAGGGGGGGGGGGGCGCTAACTTCAAACGCGTTTTGGCGGTACGAGGAATTCCGCTGGGTAATTAATAACAACAACGACAACGACACAAATGTAAGGTGCAAATGTGGATGGGCAAGGGGGTGTTACGAGATGTTGAAGAGAGATGCTAGTCCGTGCTGGCGGATGTTGCGTACAGATTTTAAGCTCTTGATTATGATCAGAGTTATGAAGATATTTCTGGTTCTGATTGTGATCCAAGCCCAATGGAGCAGTGGTCGTCGGTGAGTGGGCATGGCCGTTGGCTGGTAATAGTAAGGGCTTTAAAAGGACACTGTATATCGGCACTTTGACTTCAGAACCGCCTTTTGTAAAACACGATTTGGATGTTAAATGCGACCGCATCTCAACGACGCTGATTGAAAATCGGTAGGAGGGCCTTTTTTAGAAAGCCGTAGGGACTGGCTTTTTTATATATTATTTTTTTACATCTTTTAAATCAACACCCACGGTTAATATTACAGATGAAATTTCATGGCAGAAGACCGCAATGGAAAGACAAACCCGACGATCTCTTAACGGTCCGACGTATTTCCTGTCAATTTTATATTCGTGCATAAAACAACTGTCGCGTTGTTTACGAATTGTTTTCGAAAGGTTTACATATTTTTTGAACTGCACCGATTTGCAGGCTTTTTAAAGGTCGTCAGAAAAAAAATGGAAATCGAGAGATGAGCGCGTGTCGGGCGACGATCGCGAGCAGCCAAGAAGCCGCTACTTGCGCAAAGCCGTTTCGCCAAAGCGCGATAATTACTTCTTTCTCTTGCGCAAATGAAGCAGGAATTGTTGCGCATTTTTAAGTAGGCGCCCTGGGGGGTGTGGGGCGAGTGGGTTGGGGGGGGGGCGGCGGGGAGTTGGGGGGAGGGTGAATATTCCTGCCGGTGAATTAGCATTCTTCTATTCACCCATCTCGGCCGCATTAGACACACACGTATAAGTATTATTTAATATCCGCGCGCCGCTTTCCGTGCCGACGTTTTCCTTCCAAACTATTAATTCTGTCGACGCTGTGGTTGTGCTTTGAAGATTACAAAGAGCTTTGTCCTGCGGGGTACACGGCAGCCTTACTCGGGAGCATCATTAGACCCTGAGGGGAGTCGGGGGGGTTTGGGGGCAAAGTGGGCAGATGATGGTGGGAGGGGAGGGGGTTAGCAGACGATCCTGCCCAAGAATCATTTCATATACTGAGCTAGCTGGCAGAGTAAACAATCCAGCCCCGAGATTTTGCTTTGATTTCCGCCAGAAACTCAAAACCGTGCGCCAATAAAACTTGAACCCATTGTCGACAGACCACCGCCAACTGTACACCATCCCTGCCTCTCACCTCCCCGCACTCTCAATCTGGCAAGGCGACAACCTCCCGAGACAGACCGGTGTATCCCCGGGCCATTTTTGGAAACATAATTTCAATTGGAAATTTCTTGCGCGCTTGTGTGCGTGTACAAATATATAACTGCAAATATATCTGCAAAGCTTCACATTTGGTCGGCGAGAAAGCTGTCCACCCCCACCCCTTCCGTGATGGACCTGGCTCACGCGTGCTCACATACAGTGCCCCTTTCAGCCGGCGATACGAGACATCAGTTTGCGCTTAATCCCCATCGGCGGGGTTCGATAAGGCGCGATGTAGTCTTGCGCTGCGCGGCGCCAAGGTTTTTTGTTGATCCGCTTTGGCTTTACTTTGCACTGATGCGTCTGCATTAACCTTTCATTTACAACTCAAAGCCTCCCATGCAATGCTCTAAGGTACCGTATTGCTTGCCCCCTGGTAGCCGCCTCTCGCTCGCTCGCTTTCTGATTGCTCACTTGGCTTGCTGATGCCTGACTGACGTCTTTCCCGTCTCCGTTACGTGCTCGAGTCGGGGCTACCCACCCGTTAGGGATGTAGCGTTTTAATGGTCCGTCGGCTCGGATCGACCATCGGCGCCCGCGATGCGTGCACCAAAAACCACCTGCCCGTGTGAATACTCGAGAATCAATTGATTCCGATTTGTTATATTTTTTTTTTGCAGCCGTAAATTACAGCGGGTATAAATGGGTTGCGCCCAACATCTGTAGTCGATCGGCTCGTCACGCGCGGTGTGGTAAAGGGTTCGCGTTCCCTTCCTTTAATCATGTCCGGCCAGCGTGGAAGAGTAGGCTAAAAAAAAATTCCATCTTTAAGATGTGGCTTGTCTCGAACGTTCTCTCCTGGAGAGAGGCCCCTTCCGCCAGCACTTGTGTGGGCGAGCAATTGCAGGCGCTGCGCATTTTTACTGTAAACGCGACACGCGCAGAATAATGGTGGATACACGAGTCATGAATTGTAACCCTCCCCGCCCACCCGCGGATTGTCAAAATCCACCACACTGGAAGTCAAAATCGTTGCATCCCTAGCGCGTGGCTGCGTGCATGCATTTGCCATTGCGCGTTGCTGCGACAGACGTTGTGTTGTCGGCTGTGGATCTGCATAGCACGCCGATGTTATCCACGTGCTCGCGTCCATCCGTGTGCGTGCGTGCGCATATGCACACGCAAGTACGTTTGCGCTGTGCGTCTGGCTTCACCCAATTAAGAGTCGAAGTGAAATTTACGTAACGTTTTTTCAAAACGTGTTTTACTCTTAACCTTCGGGCTTGCCTACCTTATACCCTAAGGCAGCAGAGTTACCCCAACCTCTCTAGACCCGCGAAACCGCCGTCAACCCTCAAATCATTTTCACGGGACCACCGTGTGCCAATAACATTTATTTCACAATGTTAAACACCGTAGCATCTGCAACAGTTCTGCGTTCACTAGCAGTCCACAGAGCACAACGTTGGGACCGGCTTGCTCTTAAGGCAGCACATCATGCCCTTTCTATATAGAACTCGACGGCTCAGTGGTTAGTGGTTAGCACGTTCCAATATGAGCCTTGGTGAAGAGAGTTCGATTCCCGGCCGTGGCTAACGGTGGTGGCGAGCGATAATCTGGAGCGGTCCTAACCCCTGACTCTTCACCAATCTGCGCTGATCAGTGCGGTGAAGTATAGTTAAAACAATCCCCCCCCCCCTCACGATCGAGACGGTGTAGGAGACGTTTTCATCCAGCAGTGGATTGACAAAGGGCTGTACATCACCATAATTTATTTCCATTTTGCTTTTAATATGCAACATATCGACTCACAGTTGAGAGGAGGCTCAGCCAATCATCTCTCTGGGGGTCAATTACACTCGAGCTCCTATGTGGGAATAAAACGGTGATGTTCCGATGGATATCTCGCACCCATCATAGGAATGTGGAATATTTGCCACTAGCTTTCGGGCTGTTATCAAGTGGGGATGGGTTGTCCTCGGTTGAACAGGAAACCCTTCCATATTAACAGCACTTCCCCCCATTCACTGCTGTATGAGGGTCTCCCCACCCCGTGCGGAATTGCGGTGGTTATTTGACCATACCTCGCCCCTCTTTGCAGCGCGGGTTGATGAATGTGGGTAGCATGGAAGCACAGAACATCAATGCATTTTGATGCATGCCCGCACACATCTTGTTTTCGGGAAATTAAGAATGCCGTGGCAACTATTGCCAGTGACGATTGCCCCTGCGGTTGCATCCGTGTACCGCCCGCAGTTTTTACGCGCTTCTGGTTTTGCTGTTGTCTCTGTCCCGTCCCTTTGCATCCTTCATCGCCCCCGCCACTGCCTACGTACGCTCGCTCTCACATGTGACTCCCTCCTCCTCCCCCCTCCCCATCCCTCCTCCTCCCTCCTCCTCCCTCCTCATCTTCAACCCCTCTCCCGGCCCCCTCGCTTAGAGAGTCGACCCTGGTGGCCGAGTTTGAGGAGGAGCGATCGTCGCTGCGCAAAACCCTGGACCTGACGTCGAGCAAGATCTCCGGGAGGGACCGCGAGCTGGACAAGTTGAAGACCGAGGTGAGCGAGGCGCGGCCACGGCTTCCGGAGTCCGTCGTATCGTGGACGACATTTGTTTACCCAGCAAAAAGCCTGAGCCGATACTGCCTTTTTCCACTGCACATCCGAGCCGTAGCCGAGGCAAGTCCGACGCGGCTGAAGGGGCGACCGGGGGTTGCGTTTCGTCGACCGCAGAAGCCGAGAGCCGCTGACGTCACTCGCAACGAACGCGTCGTTAGCCCCACCCCTGGCTCTACTTTGCTGCGATCCAGATTCGGATGTCTTCTCGTGAGGTCAGTGGAGCACGGTTTGACTCTGGCTCGGCACGGCAGACAGCCGGTGGAAAAACCTCCCATTGTGCCGTGAGGGCGCCGTGCCAGCTTGGCTCGGGTGTGCTAGTGGAAAATTGGTGCCAGTCTCGAGGACACCTTTTCAGGAGTTTTTTACACAGGCTAACCCAGAGAAGACCGACCACGCCATACGAGGTTGCAACATTCAAGCCTCCGCACGGATACGTTTAAGATTCGATTCCTCTACTGCTATCTCCTGACCACCTTGTAGCCCCAACCTACAACACGTGGTATTAACCAGGCTCAAATCCTACTTAGCTACCAAGATCTGACAAGAACTTTGACGCACTGATTTGTTTGTTTTGGTCATCGTGCTATCAAGACGGGATGAAGAAAAACAACTCAAGAAACGACACCAAGAGATGATTTGACCAAAGAGAATGGATTCTTGAATCGAGTAATAACCCTGAATTGTAACTTCTTATCTAATCACTCCGTGGGAGGGTGGGGGAGGTGGGGTGAATGTTCGCACGCTTTACCGTTGTTTCCTTTTGTTTAAAAGTGCCCCGGCGGGTACAACTTAATATCCCCGGTATAAATCACTGTCTGGATACTGCCACTAAAACGCATTACCAGTGAAACCGAGTGGGATTTGCCAAAATGCTTTAATCTGGCTGCCTCTAAGTTGTTCGCTCTGCCTCAATCTGTTCTAGTATCTCTCGGTCTTCGTTGCCAGCGCTGTGCGTGCGTGCATGTGGATGGCTTCCCGCTGAGCAGCAGTAGTAGTACAGTGGTTCACTGTGCCGAACTACGAGTCCGGCGACCCGAGTTCGATTTCCGGCCACGGCCAACATCGGTGATGATTATCTGAACCGTTCATGCGGCTCCCCTAGGGTGACTCGGCCTTAAGTGAGTACCTGGTGTGCTGTATGCACAGCGGCGCCTGGTAACCCACCCCATAGTGTGGCGTGCCGGCCTTCATAGGTGCTGCTCGTTAACAGCGCTTGCCCCAAGATTCTGTTGAAAGGCTATACGGGGATCTTTGTCTTTGCGCGTGGCTTGAGACATTTAACCAAGGAACTATTTGGCCCATGCCTGGAAATCAGAGACCCTGCATCAAAAGGAAGCTCGTGTCGTTAGCCACATGGTCTCTGCATGCATGAGACATTGCACTTCAGCTTGCTTGTATCCGATGGAACCGTGCGGGTCCGCGTGGATCGGAGGGGGGCGGCGAGCGGCTCGCAGGAGGAAGGTTGCGAGTTCAACTCCCCGTTGGGGCCCGTTGACTCGGCCTCATCGTCCGTCCAGTGTCCACTCCTCAGGGTCGCGGTCACTTATGCCCCGTGAAATATTGCGCCCGTTGTGAATTGCTTTATAATTTTTATTATTTTTAAGGTTGCCAGGCGGCGCAAGGCCATGTCTGCACTTTAGCTGGCAACACTGAGACCCTGGGTTTAAAATTCAGATTTCACCAGCTTGTGATTAAACTGGCTTCTCAAGTTTATCAAGCTGATCTTTCTCAGCCTGGTAACCCAACGACTGCACAAAAAAAACGATTATTTGTCTTCATTTCTGATGCGTTAAAGCAGGGAACACCCATTTTCTATACTGTACATAGACTTCATTATAAAAAAAATACCATCAAGCACAAAAGCGTTCTAGAATGTTCCGGAATCCCATGCGTGTGTATGTATATATCTATGTTGAACTTCTTTCGCACTGTACATAGCCAACCATGCTAATTGGAGGTGCAGAGGATAGAAAACAAAAGAAACACAAAACGCTGTAAAAAAAAAATAGTTTTCAATCTCGATTTAAACGTGCACAGTTCAAGTGGTCTCCTAATATTGGAAGGAAGAGCGTTCCAGATGGCCACAGGAGCGCATATGAAAGCGCACGATGCAGTCACCGTCTTTGTTCGATGGCTAAGCCGTAAGCCACTACAAGGATGACCTGGGTTCGCATGATGATTTCCGCTCCTTGACGAGATAAGCAAGGTATTGTGCTTCATTTGTGGCAAGCACTTTGTGTGTACAATGAGTGCGACCTCCTCGTGTATTCGTTCAGCAACCGGAAGCCAATGCAGCGCGGCATGCACTGGATGGGGACACCCATCACGGCACGTGCGTGATTTTGTTGTACCCCTTTGTGTTCCTGCAGCTGTCAGCCCTGCGCAGTGCAGGCAACGCGGCACGGGATCTGCAGAGCACGGTGCAGGCCCTGGAGACGGAGAAAACCAGACTGGAGCAGAAGGTGCAGAGCCTGGAGTCGGCGCTCGGCGAGACCAAGAGGAAGCTCGACACTCAGCCCATCGCCGCGTCCGGTGAGGAGGCGCACGCACGCACGCACGCACGGACGAATAGCGATATTGAATTTCGATTTAAAGCTTTCGTGACTGCAGGGATTCACCTTCTTGGTTCTTTCGGTAAAGTCACGTAGAAGGGAAATAATAAAATAATAAAAATGAAACATAATAAGATAAAATTCTCACGACGTTTTGGCCGCAACGCAAGCAGGAGGACGGCTGCTTGCGTTGTGGCCGAAAGGTCGTGAGAATTGTATTTTATTATGTTATATTTTTATTATTTTATTATTTCCCTTCTACGTGACTTTACCGAAAGAACCAAGATAGCGATACTGAATTTGAGGTTTCCGCAGCCTTGGTTAGAATTCACGTATCGACTTTCATACCTCCGAATAGCGCGGTTTGCTACGTATGGTGCCAAAGAAGTTCAACATACGTACATGTGGGTCTGGCTTTTGAGCGTGTGACTTCATCGTCAACGGTCCGCCGTTTAATTCGCCCTCCTCTGACGGCCGCAAAGGTCTAACCGCGAATTAGGAGTGGGAACTTAACACGATCGTGAATGGTTCTGTGAGTACTAAAACGAAACTATTTTATTTATCAGGTAAAGCCCACTGAGCAATTAGCAATTTTTTTCAGAATTGCTCTGGCAACAAATGATAGCTCAACGAAGTGGCTTATCACATACAAATTTATAGTAGCAGCCAAATGCTCTAAACGCATGTATCTGAATGTGGAGGGAAAAAAAAAAAACTCCAAATATACATGCGTCAGGGTCAGGATCAAACCCACGCACTCCTGCATATGAGGCAAGGGAGACACCATCTCACCACTACGGCACCCTACAGGTGTGACGCTCACAGATGTTGACTCTGTACCAACCGCTCGCTGTAGAACGGGTGGCCCGTGCAGCAGCAGCAGCAGCAGCAGCAAACATGCAGCAGTGGCAGGCCAGCAGCAGCAGCAGCAGCATGGACAGCAGGTGTTGCCGGTCTGCCGTCGTGCGTTGTCGATGCCGAATGAAGTTAAAATGTGACTAATTATCTTATCGCACATGCACCCACGCGAGAATTTCAGTTCTGCCTCAGCGGTGCCAAAATTCAATGAGCGTTGATGAGGCCGCCCGGCTCGCAGGTCGGAGCGCCAAGCAGGCTTCGCTCTGAGATTCTGGGTTCAAATCCGGGGTCCCGGACGCTCGTCATTAAACCGGGTTCTCGAGTGCAACCATTTGATGCCCTCGGCCAGGTCACCAATGTCCGAATTAAAAAGCCATCGCGTAAAATGTAGCTCTGCGCTTAATCAGGATACGTTTTAGCGCCATGAACCGAATGTCGGATTGACTGTCTTGCGACAAACGTTGCTGTCGTATGGCAGAGTGGGTGGGGACGCACTACCTTGGACTGTGCGTGGTCATGAGGTCATTTGAAAGGATCTTGGTGGTAGTGGTGCGATATCCACTTCCGCTGCCCGCTCTCTAACACGAATGGATGCACCGCTGTGTGAGGTTTCTCAACGGATTCTGCATCTCGTGACGGCACCATGATGATAGCACAATAGGGATAACGTTGGGGATTTTTTTACACGAATTTATTTTATTTAAATATTCACAATTAATTTCAATGCCTATTTTATCAGACTCTCCTTTGATTGCTAGGACCGGCGATATCTTGGGCGCCACAGTGGCGAGATGTTAACTCCCTCGCCTGGTATGCAGGAGGGTCATGGGTTCGATCCCGATCCTGAAGCCTGTATGATTTGGACTTTGCATGTCCCCTCTCTCTCCGTGGTCACGTGGATTTTTTTTACGAGCATGCGTTGAGAGTATTTGGCTGATATAAATCTCCACTTGATAAGCCACTAAGTTGAGTTATCCATTTGTGGCCGGGTCGCTCCTGAAAAAGAGCTACATAGCTCAGTGGGTCTTAGCTGGTAAAAAAAAAAGTATAGTTTTAGTTTGAGTTGATTATCTTTTGATTTACCATTTCTATATTGTCGATGCCTACTGTGGTGCGAATTTCTATTTTTACGTTACCCGTGCGTGGATTTTCAATGTCAGAACACGTCTAGCTGCGCAGGTGCGAGGCGCGAGATAAATAATACATCATCGTAATTGTGATAAATGTAGCTCTTCACTCGGGAGCGCTCTGGGAAGAGTTTTTGAATTTCACACGTGCACTTCACGCTCGCACCTTGGCTTTGCGGTTACAACAGTTGCGGTGCAAATGTGTAAAGGCCGTGACACGTTCAGGGCAATTATTGTTGCCACTCATTAGAATTAAGAATCTTCATTGAGACTGGAGGTAGGAATCTGATGGGCTATGAAGCTCTATTTTCACAAGCAATGCAAAACAACGATAGGAGCGCAAAGAATAGGGAAGGTAAGCAAATCACATAAAAAAAAATACGAATAAGCTATTTTTATTTTACCAGGTAAAGCTCACTGAGCTGTTAGCTTCTTTTTCAGAAGCGACCTTGCCAACAAAAATGAGCGCTCAACGAAGTGGCTTGTGTGGAAATTTATAGCAGCCAAATAATAAAAAATAATCTATACGCATGTTTTTAAATGCGGAGGGAAAAACCAGAGGACCCGCAGAAAAAGTCCCACGTGACCACGGGGAGAGAGATTTGCAAACTCTAAATATGCAGGCATCAGGGTCTGGATCGAACCCTCACGCTCCATTCACCGCTGAGTCTCGGAACGCGCAAGCGGCTCGGCATTAATTTAGTTTAGAAAGGCGTAGCGCCGTTGTTTTTAAAGACACAGTACTCTCCCGCAGAGAAGCCTATAACAACACGACCGCACGCTCCGATAGCTGGCGCCAAACTGTGCCACACGCACCTCTCTCGCATGGCGTTGTGGGAGCCTCGGTACCAATAATGTTGTTTTATCATTCCTTCCGGTTTTGTTTTGATGACGTACACGTACCTACGTCACCGGAACGGGAAAGGGTTAAGCGTTTTCTTTGAGCCGGCTTGTGTGAGCCAGAGGCAAGCCTGAGCTGATATGAGCCGTGACTAATAATGTCGGCCTTACTATGAGCATCTTGCCATGGCAGGGGCATAGAGTGATGAGAGTTCCGACTAACCAATAAAAGCAGACTTCCTTGAAAAGTGATTAGTTCAGCATTTGTTAGTCTAAAGAGAATACACAACTCCGAGCAGTCATGTGACCTGTGTCTGCGATCTGATTGGAAGTTACCATCCCAGTTGCCCACTCCTGAGTGCAGCGATCAGATTTATCCAGAGTTGTTTCCAACAAAATGTACAATAGCAAATGGTGTGGCAGCTATACTACCGGTGACAATTGCAAGCGACCGTTGTCCTAAATTTGCCTTTGTTGTATTGCCTTTCATCGCCCCTTAATTGATTGTTTGGAAGGTCTTGTGTATACCCATGCTTTAGCAGATATTTTAAATAAGGGTCGATTGGAAGGATTACCATAACAGGAGTTGCCATTTGATATGGGAGTCCATTGAAGACCATTGAAATTAATTTCTTTGATGATGTTTCAAATAATTATCATATTGAAGGCAGCCAGGCCTGACTTACAAAGAAGATTACCCATTATTTGGCGGTTCGTTGATGTCGCAGTTCGTCAGTGTCTCACAGTCCAGTTAATCGACCAGTGCACCTCCGATAGTCACGGCTGGCTACGTAAGATGCGAAAGAAGTTCAACATACGTACGTACATTTCAGTTTAACACGTAGGCTTTCGCGACCAATATTATTCATAATCAACGTTTTTTTGGGTTTAGATCGCGTTATTTATAAATGTGTCGTAACCCTCCACCACCCGACACGGCCAATCAGATGCAATTACCAGCGAAACGTCGTACTCAAATTGTAAATTGTTGTGGTTTCACGCTTCAACACACCGGTGGGCTAAAGCAGTGAACTAATTGTCTTTTGTCAACGTGACACTTTTTTACTGATTGGCCGTGTCGGGTGGTGGAGGGTTACGACACATTTATAAATAACGCGATCTAAACCCAAAAAAAAACGTTGATTATGAGTACGTACATTTGTTCGACGTGAAGTCGCATTTGTGCGCCTGACGCGAAACTGACAATTGAGTGAATGCGACCAGAGACCGATGCCGCCTCTTCCCTCCGCAGCGGCCGTCGCGGCCACCACCAAGGCGGCTCGGCAAGACGCGGACGACGAGGAGGAGGACGACGACGTCAGCGGCCAGGTACACTCGGTGGCGGTCGACAAACACGCAAACACGCGCGCACGCAACGCCCCGTGGCGGCGGCGGCCACCGCTTTAATTTGTCTCCTTGTGCGCAGTGCCTTTTTTTGTTTGTTTTTGGCACGGACGTTCGTTATCTCAAGTCGTGCGATTGGTTCCAATGTATTCTCACCTTCTGGCTCTTGTTTCCACTTGGTTTCCCCGTGATTTATTTTCTCATTCTTTGTTTCTTTATTCCTTTCGTTGCTTCCCCTTCTGCACCCCTCCCACCCTCTCTCTCCACCACCCCCCCCCCCCCCCACCACCACCACCAAACCCACCCACACCGTCACCCACCTGAACCCTGATGCACAATTATCTTCTGGCTGCACTTTCACTGTCTCCACCTCCTCCTCCTTCACCACCACATCCTCCGTGGCTCCTTGGCTCGCCCAGCAAATGGTTGGTGCTGCGTGCGTGTGCGTGCGGTAACCCCCCCCACCACCACCACCTCCCTCCCGGCCTCCAGTAGTCAGCACCAACTGCCGTTGAATCGCGGCCAGAAAAACTGAAATCCATTAAGATTATATATTTGTATACGAAAAAAATATATATAATTATATATAAATGTATCCTTTCGAATACAACAAATATTCCGTTTTCTTCAGATTATGAGATGCTCTGGAAAGTAAGACGCACCCAGAACTTTATTAGTACCCGATGCTAATAATAGTTAAATGGATGTGGTCGCTCACACAAAGACAAAGGTCCCCCTCATAGCCTTAACACACTGGTGGGGCAAGTGCTGTTAGCAAGCACTTTTTGAAGGCCGGCTTAGCACACGAGGGGATGGGTGGCCAGCACCACGCCCAGCTGCTTTTGTCTACCCAGTGGTGATTACACACCACACCAGATCCTCGTGAGCGTGAATCGAAATCAAGTCGTAGCACAAGCGCGCTAACCACAGCGCCACTGCTCCCTGCACACACAGACAACAACAACGACAGCCGCCATTCACCACTAAATGGCGGTGACATCACCACAGCGCTTGAGCCAGGCTAGGTGCATTTTTTTATGCCACTCGAAGCGTCAAAGGCTCTCTGGCAGCAGGGCCAGACCCAGGAGTTGCCACAGGGTCACTGACTGAGATGACTGGCAGATGCAAAGGGGAGAAAAAACTGTGCCTTATAACCCAGAGCATACGATAATTTCCGCGGTAATCTGGACGTTAAGAAAATGTAAATGGGCAATCATCTAAATTTAGTCGCATTTTAGGTACAAAAGGAGAGCGGTGAACGAAGCAGCCACATGGGAATGATTCTTTGAAGTCGGGGGGGGGGGGGGGGACCCAAGTGGGTAGCCATGAGGGTCATTATCGATGAGCCGAGTGCGCCCGTGAAGGCAGTTAATTGAGAGAGGGCACATCTACAGCGGTCACGCGGCACTTACTGAGTAATTGAGTGCAGAGTGGAGCTATAGTGGGCCCACCGTATGCGACCCCCCGTCACGGTCCACATTTGCCAATTTGGGAAAAAAAAATTATCCGCACGTTGCTCGTCTTTTGGGTTACATCGCAATCGTCGCCCCCCTCCTGCGAAAACCGGTAGCAGGGCCCTCCTGAAAAAAAAATGTAGTCCCAACAGAATAATCAGCAGGAGTGTGTCATGAACGGATCACCACGTGCGTGCTAATAACGCCACCGCTGTGTTCGGCGCACCGTTGCCCTGTTCATCCCCGCGTGCGCGCAGGTGGAGTTCCTCAACTCGGTGATCGTGGAACTGCAGAGGAAGAACGAGGACCTCCAGTCGCAGCTGGAGAAGTTGGCCCAGGCAGCCGTGAATGGGAATGACGCCGCCGGACAGGGGGACAGCGCTGAAGAGTAAGGAGACGTCCGCCTCGCCCCGTCCGACGCGGGCACCGCTTTTCCTGTTATTCCGCGTTAGCTCGCAAGCCCGTTCATTCGGCTGTCCGTCTGTTTGTTGTCTGTCTGTCAATCCATCCGACCGTTCGAACATCCGTCAGTCCCTCCGTCCGTCCATCAGTCCGTCCGTCCATCCATCCGTGCAGCGTACGTGTGTTGCTTCGGCGCGCGTGTGAGCATACCTTCTGTGCGGTGGCGGTGGTGGTGGCGGCGCTGAATGCCAGCAAGCGTGCGGGCGTTCTCGCAATTGTTTTGACAGTAGAAAATCATACAATGCAGCAGGCCTCTGGAGAGCTTCGTGAGAACGGTAATTCTGACGGTTTTCGTTATTGTTTCCCTCCCTCCCTCCCTGCCTCCCCACCTCCCCTTTGGATTTACAAGGGAAACATTTGTGTTTTAGCCCCCGCTGAGCTAAAGGCGAGGTTTGTCAGTGTTGGCCGTGTAACAAGGGGCGACGTAATAACAGGGCTGCGTCGGTGACGGCGCGCCCAGATGTAATTATTTGTGTTTACTCCCCGGACTTGCCCGCTATTACCGGTTTAACAGTGGTGCTTTGTCTACATCTCTATCGCATTTCCCGAATTTTTCCATCTCGGGAGAACTGCTTTTGATCTTCCACTTGATCTCCGCGTCTCTCCTCCTTTCATTGAAGTGATTCGCCGTGAGCACTTCCCCTGGTCTTACCACCACCACCGTGTCCTCTAACCCCTACTGCCGTCAAAGCCCCAAATTGCAGGGAAACAACATTTCTCCTCTTTCAGCACCGTTCATCTGCTGCGTTGTCACGCGTGCTCTCTCGTCGCTTGCTTGGGGAAACTCTGGCGTCATCTTTTTTTCCCCAAGTTTTTGGAACCTTCGCTCGACTCGGGGAAACACCGCGGTAGCTCTAATCAGGCCCTGCTATCATCACCGTTGCCATCATCGTAACTCCCATCCGTTATCGGTGTTCCCAGCTCGCCTACAAGTTCCGCGTGCTCATGGTGGTTCAGCGCATTAGGTCTGGCCTGCTTTGCCAACGTCGCCGCTCTCTGCAGCGGGCATTGGAACTCATCCCAATCCCCCTCTAACCTTGCTCAATGCAAGAAACCCATTACTTATCTCCTTACACTATCGTCGGCATGCTCTCTTTCTCTCTCCCCCCCTCCCTCTCTCTCCATCGCCGACCTCTTTACATCACACGGCCCTTTTAATCCCGCGCTCGGCAACCCGCGGCAATCGATAAATGCATTTAACCCACCGCCCCCCCCCATCTCTGCCGTGACCCCTTCCCCCCGGCAGGCCGGAGGAGGGCCGCCGCCAGGTGGCGCCGCGTCTCTTCTGCGACATCTGCGACTGCTTCGACCTGCACGACACGGAGGACTGCCCCACGCAGGCCCAGCCCGAGGAGGAGCCGCCCCACTCGGCCCACCACGGCGAGCGCCACGCCACGCGGCCCTACTGCGGCATTTGCGAGTCGTTTGGCCACACCGCCGAGCAGTGCAACGACGACGAGACGTTCTAGAGACGGCCGACCGCCTTGCCCAGCTTGCCCCCCCCTTCCCCCCCCGCCCTCTCCTACCACTCTCACCGTGGCCACCGACCCCACCCGCCTCCCACTTTCATGGCGGAACCGACAAACGCGTGTCTTCTCTCCAAGCGAACGACCTCATCGCTTCGTTAATAGCTTTTTCAGTCCTCCGCTCGTTACCCTTTCCTGCCCTCTCCTGCCCTTCCCTTTCCTCCGGCCTCCTCCGTGTACTCCCCCACCCCAAACTTCCCCCGCCCACCACGTCTCCCCCCTCCCCTCCACTTCTTCCCTGCTTCATCCCTCCTCCCTCCCCCCACAACCACAATCCTCTCTCAGTTTCCAAACTCACCACGGCCACTCTCAACCACCAACTCAATTCTCACCTCCACTCACCACCACCAAACACTCTCACCACCTCCACTCTCACCACCACGAATTCTCAATACCCCCCCGCCCCTCCTTCCCCTCCTCCCTCTCCTCCCTGGATAGGGAGGTGTGGGGGAAGGGTTTTATGCTCATAGGTAACCGTGGCAACTTCAGGGCAACCGCCACCTACGATTGCCACCGGCAACGCATGAAACTATGAGCGCCGTGGTCATGCCAGAGTGGCGTAGATTGAGAAGAAGAGTTCAGCTCATCCGGACGGAGGTTGCCGAGCGCTGTGTGGGGCGTTCGATGAGCAGTGACTGATGCACAGAGCTCGCGTTCGCGCAACGACACAGCCTCGAGCCAGTCACGTGACCTCTGTCCGCATTTTGGCAACTGGCGGACGACAAAGCGAAAGTTGCTGGTGACAATTTGCCGGTGACGGTTATCCGAACATGTGTCCTGACCTTGCAGGGGTTACTGCCGTAAAAAGGAAATAAATATATGAAGGCGACGTTTCAGGCAACGGCCCTTCTTGATAGCACGCAACATCATTTGTGTAACCATTGCCGAAAATGTGTCCGGTTTTATATATTTCAATTTCCTTTTGAAGGCAACGTTATTGACGGAATGTGTTGATCTGTTTGTTGTTTGTTTAATTGCTCTTGTGCACCGCTGCCAAAGCAGTATCACCAAATAACGTTTCGTTTTATCGGGGTCACTGTATATATGCTGCATTCACCCACGTGGGTTGTGTCACATTTCTTCAAATTGTCTCCGCAGCAAGCTCCACGCGGGCGCGTGTTGGGCGTTCGTTGTCACGCGCGCCGGTCTATGCACACTCGGCGCCACCTTCCTCGCGTTGTGGGACACTGGGGAGGCATCCACCCGCCCTGCGCACACGCACGCCCAACAGGACTCGGCACCAAAGGGGAGAGGGAGGCTCGTGCGTGCGTGTTTTTGTGCGTCGGTGGTTCTCTCTGCAACTGTTTGGTGTGCCTGTGCGCGACCGTTTTCCTACTTGCACGTGCGCTCGAATGACCACCTGGGGCACTTTTGTTTTCATTTAATTTTCTACACGCATTTTATTTTTTACCTCGGCAGAGGTGTCCTGAATTTCAATCAGCTGCTCCGTTCATGAAGCCTTAAATTCTGCAGGAAAAAAAACCATTCTACAGCTTACGTCTTGAAACCCGTAATCAAATTTTAGAAATATATATACACTTGAGGAGTGGTTTAACATCAAACTGTAGCTCCTGCACCAATGATTGTAGTCATTTTTCCGTTGTAAATCTGTCCAGCGCTGGAAAGAAACTGTTAATCTCATCCGAAGGAGCGGGGCCGTTCTCGTAAATCAACCGCAGCTCAATTTTCACGCGACACCACCGCAGTTGCGTGGAATCCATGGCGGGGGGGGGGGGGGTAGCGGAGGCCGGGGAGGAACGGACCTCTGGAGCGCAAGTATCGCTCGCGGTTGCTGCTGCTGCTATTGTTGTTGTTACCTTGAATTGAGATGATGAGCGAGCGAGCAAAACCACAGGTGCCCTCGGCGTAGCGTCGGGCCGTAAACTACCTGACGCACTTGGAGCGCCGCCCGCACCGCACTTGTCGCGAACCCGCACGCCAAATTGTGTCGTCAACGCACTCCTCCGCTCGCCTCTGCAACAACAATCTGTTTCTCCTTATTTATTCGCTGCCTTCCTCGGCCCGTCGAGTTTATCGGAGCGGTCATCAGCGACGTCTTTCCACGTGAAGGGGGCGCGGGTTTTTTTGTGTTTTATGATTTTAAACCAAACTTGGCAATGGCGAAGGTGCAACGCTGGAATTGCTTTTGCTTGCGCTCGCTGCTGGCGGGAGCGGTCTCCACTCGCGGGGAACTTGAGCGACAGTTACCCCTCTTCCCTTCTTGAGGGGTAACTTTGGCCGACTCACGCACGCTTTGGTGGCCCCCTGCCCTTTGCGCATCTCCGATTATCACGTGTCGGTCACGTGCGGCGCGACAGAAGTTCAGCATTGCATGCTCGCCAGAATACCCGCGTGGTTTGGTTTTCTTACGAACGGGGACGCCACTTTGGCCTATTCTGCCGCCACTTTCCCGTGCGATGAAGACGTCAATGCTTGGGACGCGTACCAGAGGGTGTGCGGTGTAATGTAACAACAATTTCCGCAGGGGACGGCTGCTGGAGTTGACGTCGTAAGAAACCAATTTCCTCAGTTCCCTTCGGTCACCTCTCAATTCACGCCAGGGTGGCGATGAGACGCCCTCGGTGTGGACCGACGCACGGCAGTCGAACACAACACAAAAAACACGACAAGTTTGCCGAACTCAAAAGAGCTGGAATTATTTGAAGCGACAAACCAAACTTCGCACACGCGCGCACACCGTGGGTTGTTTCGTTCTGTGTGCAGCGTGTGTAGTATGTGTGTCAGTGAGTGTCGTGCAATCATTCGGTGCCACGCCGCCGAATCCATCCGTTCAACTCCGCCCCACACTTTCGAACGTCGGAATCGAGCGCCGAGCGATGCGACGAACGGAAGGGACCCGGTCCAATAGGATCGTTCATTCGCGGTGTCCGCACCGCAGGGGTCGCCTGCGCAGTGTAGCGTGAAGGTATCCCCCCACCCACCCCCCCGTGCTTTTTTGACGTATGCTGTATATTTTACACGGATGGGGGGTGGCGGGGGGGGGGGGTGCTGGGGAGGGAGGTTGCTGCTAAGAGTGGCTTACGACTGCGTGCGCGAGCGAGTAAGCGAGTGTACGCCAGAGAGCTTGAACGGTTCGTCGGGGCCTTTCATCGGCGGCTGTTTGAAATGGGCAGCCGGCTTAAGGAACGCGTCGGGTGTGCAAGGCCGGGTGTTGGGGCTTTGGTGGGGTGGTGGGGGGGTCCACATCCGAGTGGTGGTCGGTCGCGCAACTTGAATCGCCTGCGGCTGCTTCGTCCACGTGTGCGAGCGAGCGAGCAGTTGCGGCAGTGGCGTCATTCGTGAAGGCAGCAACCAAAAATCGCGCGCGAGTTATTGTTTTGTTTTGTGAGAGTTGCACGCGATTTGAAAACGCGTCGAGCGAGCCGATTGCCGCTTTGGAAGTTGACTTGGGTCCTTCGTTCTGTGAGCCCTCCCACCGGTTGCCGCAACCGGTTGCGGAGACGTCCGCATACGGATGCGCGATTCGAGTTGCATGCGACCCTTCAATCACGCCGCGTGTGGAAACCGAGTATTAATGTGCGGGGAGTTTGAACCGCTCGTTACCAACGTGTGTAGCGGACACGTCCTAAGCTGGGGGGGATGTGGATACGAGGTGGAACGCAGGGCGGCGGGTTCGTTTATTTGGTGTTGTTGTGTACACATTGTACATTGTTATATTATACGATAATATATTGTAGCTGTAATTAGATGACGGATGGTTTAAAAACAACAAATCTACAATACCACATGCACGCACTTGTGTGCTTGTGAGCATCTTATCAAATTTGGGCACGAACAAAAAGGCTGCCTTTCTTTGTTGAATATGAAGGGAGATGATTCTCAGTTTGTAAGACTGGGGAAAAAAATATTTGATTGTTACAATGGTCTGGAGCGAGCGAAGGGCGTTTTAAATGCATTGTCTAGACTGGAGTCAGGATTCAGTTGTTTGATGTGGAGGGAAAGGCGCAGCCCTGCAATTGCTTGCTCACGCCAATGCTGCCGGAAGGGCCTCCACCGTGAGTTCTAGAGAGAGAGAGAGAGCCCCTTGACAAAGTCTATTTGGCCGACTCTTCCAATATGGCCATACAATTGTTTATATAGTGATACATATTGATAATAGTCTTTTCACAGCCCTTCCTGGATGAAGGCTTCCTCGCTTTACTCAAGTGGCATGGCTTGTTTGCCCATACTTTACCACTCTTGTCAGCGCTGGTTAATTAATGTCTGGCTGCGGTGGAGGGAGGGGGGGTGGAGACGCGTCATGAGCTGTTCCGATGTTTCTCGCCACGGACGACATGAGCTGTGGCCAGGAATCGAACTCGGGTTTCCAGGCGCATAGCGCCACGACCTCCTCCCACCTCCCCCCCCCTCCAAAGACAAAAATATCCCCTCTTAACCCTAAACAGACTGTTAGGACAAGTGCTGTTCCCATGCACCAATGAAGGCCGCAACGTAACACGAGTGGGTGTTGTGGCTCGTACCACGCTCGACCGCCTTTGTCTCCCCAGTGGCGATGTTTCCGACACATCGCACAAGAATTTGAGGCCTAGTCGATCTGGGTGAGGCCCATGCACCGGTCCAGATAAAGAATCGTCGCTGGGGTTGTGTGATGGACGTGAGCCCGGAATCGAGCTCGTGTCGCCGGGAGTGTAGCGCAGCGCGCTAACCGCTACACCACCGCTACCCCCCCAACCAGCACCGCTGCTGTTTCTATTCTCAACTGGAGATGAATCCCTGGTTTTTGTGCGTCTGATCCGGGTGCAGTATTGTGCGAGGCAGCCTTGCTTTAAGCTACAAGTCACGTTTGCACACGTCTGCCCCCGAATCGTAAACGCATAAATTTACACACCCGCCTTCCGAACAAGTGGTGGGGGGAAAATGTTAAAGGGCACTTAAGTCGCGAGTTTCGCAATGAAGTGTTATGTACGGCGGGCGATGTTTTTATATAAGAGACTGTTTGGTGGGATTATGGAGCAAAACAAAATAAGAGGAAATTGTCACTTTAATGCTAAATTTGTACGGTTTTTTTCCCCCCATGGCTACTATTAGCGCTCTCGACCCGGCCTGGTGAGGTGATCAGTCGTGTTTGTGATAGACTCCACTGGCCGAATATAGTGTTGATGCAGGTGGGCGGGAGGCTGTATTGGCCGGGGGTCAAGGGAGGACATGGGGGAGGGGGGGGTGGAATCGTAAGAATTTTAAATACAGTGCTGTATCCACTCAATAAAAAAACCTAGATTGCTGCATGCCACAATGATTTCGACGTTTTTGTACATTGCTATAGTATATGTGCCGAGAGAGAGAGAGAGAACCCATAACGTGTATATTTTCAAATCTATAGAAATAAACGATGTATCCTTGAGGTCACTTGAATTCGCATGGCTCGCAAACGGGGTTTGTTAAGTCCTAGGCGTACAAGGCTCACGTTGTTATTTGTAACACGGCAACAACACTAATAATGCAGCGGCTTCGCGGAGAATGCTGAGAAAAGAATAAATAACGTGTCCTCTTCCCATACGTGTCTCCGCGCAAAACAGCAAAGTCTTTTTCTATTTTACTTTTAAGACGTCCACATCATCACGACCTTGTGGCAGCACAGCTTGCCACGAGCAGCAGTTGCTTGAACGCATGCCGGCAAAGGCCGTGAATCGTTTTCTTTATTCAGTGTCTCGTCAAATGTAGCGTACAGTCAGAATAATAAGTCTTTACCGAGTAAAGCTTTCATTGAGCTAATACGCGCGTTTGCAATGGCGACTCGGCTGGCAGGCAACATCAAAGCATTGCACCGTAATAATTGCACCATAATAATCATTAGCAGCAGAGTCGGGCGCTCTTTAATAGATGCTGGTAAACTGCCCGGATCGGGCTTTTCCCGAATCAATATTTATTACATTGATGATTAATTTTATATTCTGGGTTAGTTCACTGTGGAGGTGTAATGTCGACACTTTTAATTGTAGCCCTCCAACCTCTCGACTGAGCCAGTCAATTCGAGTTGGCGCGTCGCGTGGGCACGTATCCCGATCGATTTGATTTTTCAGCAACATGCGGAGGAGGAGGAGTGTTGGAACAGCCCGAGCAAGATTTTGACGTTCGACGTTTCAGCAGACACTCAAACCCAAAATCAACATCACGCCCCCGAGGTTCACAGGCGAGGGCCACTTTTTGCAAAGTAAATTGGTTTCCAGCTCAATATACAGGATGGCCCAAACGTCAGGACACACAGGGTTACGATATTTATTTCAACAAATGTTCAAGCGGACTGCCGTTAACATAAATGCGTGCATGAATTGTCTTTTGGAATTAATGTACGATTTTTTAGTATTACAGCTGCTTTTTCTTTAGCGTACATGAAAGCGAGTTGAACTCGTTCGCCTTTAGGCAATTTTCTTTACATTTTTAAATGTCATCTCAAAAGGAGGAAAGAAAAAAAATCTGTGGATATCAATAATTATAATAGCTCAAATATTAACTTCCAGAATAAATTAAACCCGTTAACGCCAATGTAAAATTTAATTAAATAACCCTCACGTGTCCCGACGTTTGGGCCCCTCTGTATAACAATGCCCATCACGTGGTCTGACTCTTGGGCCACCCTGTATAACAATGCCCATCACGTGGTCTGACTTGGGCCACGCTGTATAACAATGCCCATCACGTGGTCTGACTCTTGGGCCACGCTGTATAACAATGCCCATCACGTGGTCTGACTCTTGGGCTACGCTGTATAACAATGATCATCACGTGGTCTGACTCTTGGGCCACGCTGTATAACAATGCCCATCACGTGGTCTGACTCTTTGGCCACGCTGTATAACAATGACCCTCACGTGGTCTGACTCTTGGGCCACGCTGTATAACAATGCCCATCACGTGGTCTGACTCTTGGGCCACGCTGTATAACAATGCCCATCACGTGGTCTGACTCTTGGGCCACGCTGTATAACAATGCCCATCACGTGGTCTGACTCTTGGGCTACGCTGTATAACAATGAACCTCACGTGGTCTGACTCTTGGGCCACACTGTATAACAATGCCCATCACGTGGTCTGACTCTTGGGCCACGCTGTATAACAATGACCATCACGTGGTCTGACTCTTGGACCACGCTGTATAACAATGCCCATCACGTGGTCTGACTCTTGGACCACTCTGTATAACAATGACCATCACGTGGTCTGACTCTTGGACCACGCTGTATAACAATGCCCATCACGTGGTCTGACTCTTGGGCCACGCTGTATAACAATGCCCATCACGTGGTCTGACTCTTGGGCCACGCTGTATAACAATGCCCATCACGTGGTCTGACTCTTGGACCACGCTGTATAACAATGACCCTCACGTGGTCTGACTCTTGGGCCACGCTGTATAACAATGATCATCACGTGGTCTGACTCTTGGGCCACGCTGTATAACAATGCCCATCACGTGGTCTGACTCTTGGGCCACGCTGTATAACAATGACCCTCACGTGGTCTGACTCTTGGGCCACGCTGTATAACAATGCCCATCACGTGGTCTGACTCTTGGGCCACGCTGTATAACAATGCCCATCACGTGGTCTGTCTCTTGGGCCACCCTGTATAACAATGCCCATCACGTGGTCTGACTCTTGGGCCACGCTGTATAACAATGCCCATCACGTGGTCTGACTCTTGGGCCACGCTGTATAACAATGCCCATCACGTGGTCTGACTCTTGGGCCACGCTGTATAACAATGACCCTCACGTGGTCTGACTCTTGGGCTACGCTGTATAACAATGACCATCACGTGGTCTGACTCTTGGGCCCCTCTGTATAACAATGCCCATCACGTGGTCTGACTCTTGGGCCACGCTGTATAACAATGACCATCACGTGGTCTGACTCTTGGGCCCCTCTGTATAACAATGCCCATCACGTGGTCTGACTCTTGGGCCACGCTGTATAACAATGATCATCACGTGGTCTGACTCTTGGGCCACGCTGTATAACAATGAACCTCACGTGGTCTGACTCTTGCGGCAGAGGGAGAACGTCAATCGGCCACCAAACAAAAACTCGCCGCGTCGCTTACACCGCGCGCGACGCGCGGCCGATAGAAACCACAACGCGTTCCAATAATTCAACAACAAACGGATTAAATTAGTGGGGGGGAGGGGGGGTGGTAATGTCACCGTGCGGTAGACTTGAGTTATTCTTTATCCATATGGGAGGAGGAGGGGGGGGGGGATGGTGGTGGGGGTGGGTGGGTTGGTGGGTGGGGGCATTAGCTCGTTCATCCCTTTGCAACACAGCAGCCGCGCCAGATTGCCGGTTCCAATTAAGCGGTGGATGCGTCTGGGCGCTCGTAAATTGCCGCGCGCGCGCGCTCCGCAACGCGTGCGCTGTGTTCGCGATGACATCGGTGGTGCTCTGCTCGCGACCCACGAAAGAAAACAAAATACACATTGGGGGGAGCGGGGAGCGGGGCGGGTACGTCAGCCGCTCACGAAGCAACGTTCTGAGACTGTTTTAAATACATTCTAGATTTGAAGCTTTCGTGACTGCAAGGATTCATACTATTAGTTTTGTTTCGGTAAAGTCACGTAGGTAAAAAAATGAAATTAAAATTAATAAAATAAAAAATCACGACGTTTCGGAGGCAACACAAGTCTCCGTCATCAGGTGGGACCGTCACAGCCAGATTTACTGTATCAAGTGAGGCAGGGATTCCAATATGCAAGTTCTTAAATACAAGTTAAGGGGGAGGAGAGGGGGGGGGGCGTATCAGAACGTGGTAGCCAATGAATGGAACGTATCGGGAGGGGGGGGCTAGAAGAGAGCACGAGGTGTAAGTAGACGTAGACATGGACGTGTTTGTGCGCAAGCCCCTGTTGGTGCACATGATAACGTAAAAACTAAGAGTATGTTTTAAATAAAATGTAAACATGTATTTACGAGATAAAGCCATCCCAACACTGAGCCGTTAGCTCTTGTTCAGAGGCGAGCCGCTGGCCACAACGTGATCGTACGTCAGCATCATCCGAGTGGCTTCATCATTATTATTACACGTGGGGGAAATAGAATAGCAGCCACATATTGTTTACGCGTGTCCTGTTTATAAATGTGGAGGGAGAGGGGGGGGGGGCATCTACGTACGTGCCTTCCTTTAATCCGGCACAAACACATTTATTGACTCACCGCTCAAACAAACAATTACGTACATTTAAGAATGCACACTAAAATAAACATTTTTATATAGAAATACAATGTTTACAAAAATAAACAAACAAGAAGATTACTTACAGATCACGTTATTTTCTTGCTAAATTTAAATCTTCCCGTGGGCTTTTAGGAGGTGCCGTGCCAATTGGCTTACCAGGAGAAAGCGGCACAGCAAAATGTGGACACATTTGCGTCTATAAGAGGTGTTTTGGGTAAGATCGCGTAAATATAATTGTGTCGTTAAACTCGCCACCACCCGACACAGCCAATGTGTTGGAGAGTAAACCCACAACGTTTACAACACACCGGTGTGCTGTACTAATAAGGAATTCACACGTTTTGTTTCGGGGCCGTCCATAAATGACGTCACGCACCTAGGGGGAGGGGGGGGGGTCAGACATTTATGACGATGTGTGAAGAGAGGGGTGGGGTTTGAGAAATGTGACGTCACATCAAAATGCGCAATTTAAATAAATATAGACAACACGTTCCACGTCATTCAGACGCTGTCTTTCTGACAGACCTGTTCTTCACCTGAGGACGGCTGCTTGCGTTGTGGCCGAAACGTCGTGAGAATTATTTTATTATGTTTTATTTGTATCATTTTATTATTTCCCTTCTACGTGACTTTACCGAAAGAACCAAGAAGATGAATCCCTGCAGTCACGAAAGCTTTAAATCGAAACGTTCCACTTAATAGGCTGTTTAATAAATGTTTTCTCCTACAGCATCAGAGTGCAGCGCCACATTAAATACGCACTACAATGACAATAGTTTGAAGCGATTTGAAGCATTTTTTTTGGGGGGGGGGGGCAGAGCTTTGTGACGTCATATTTGAGGGGGGGGGGGTCTGACTTTTTGTGACGTCGTGTGACGAAGGGAGGGGGGGGTAAAAAATTGTCCGAAATCGCGTGACATCATTTATGGACGGCCCCTTATGCGACGAACCTTACTAATTGGCCGTGTCGGGTGGTGGCGGATTTAACGAAACGTAATTTATTTACGCGATCTAACCCAAAACACCTCTATTATGGAGAGTATTTGTCGCGAAATCCTACGTGTTAAACTAATCTTCATCCGTCCTATCCGTTTGGGATAGATGTGTCTTCTCTCCGGGTGCTCCGGATTCCTCCCCCATGGAGAACACTCGTTGCCTGAAAACATACTATTGGGTTTTTTTCGGTAAAGTCACGTAGGTAAAAAAATAATAATAAAAGTAAAATAAAAATACTCACTTGATACAGCTGTCGTGCTGTGACGGTTCCACCTGAAGACGGAGGCTTGTGTTGCTTCCGAAACGTCGTGATTTTTATTTTATTTTTAC